TTTTGTTCTAAGTACATTTTGTGTTGTACTATTATTCCATACATTAGTCAAGTTTCAACATTAGGTAAATAATCCAAAGCGTTGGAATCGTATTTTTAAATAAATAATTATATATATATATATATATATATATATATATATATATATATATATATATATATATGTATGTATGTATGTATATATGTATGTATGTATGTATGTATGTGTATGGTGCAGGTAATCAATCCGTTAACGATTACCTGTGCTATATAATGAACTCTCCCGTCGGTTTCGATGTATGACAACGTAACCAAGTGATTCAGTTATGAAATTTTGTGCGATAATCTTAAGTGGCATTTAAGACCCGATAGTGATTTACAAAGAGGCCGCATATGGAGCAAGAATTAGGATAATAGGATGAGATCACTTGTAGATTAGCTGACCTTTTAGATCTTGCTCGCGCTACTTGAAGACGATTCAGACAAGAAAATGAAAACTGATTAGTCCATTAAAACATATTGATGTCCATTCTACCCGCTCCAAGTCTAAGCGCTTGAGGGTGTTATGAGGTACTATATATATATATATATATATATATATATATAGTACAGGTAATCGACCCGTTGGTATGTATATAGTCCGGGTGGATACTGGTGATATTAATTATTAAAACTGTATCTGTCTGTCTATCTACCGATAGATAGATAGTGTGGAAATAGCAATCAACAATGCATGGTGACTGCGAGTTACATGCCTCAATGCACGTAGGGGTGAAACAGACATAAAAATTTTCCATTAATACAGAAATGTTAAACAAAATATGTTTATATTGAACTGGTAGGTTTATTTCGTAAAATTTTGATCACATTCACAAACACACACACGAAGACATAGACAGACACATACGCAGACAAACACAGAGATCACACACACACAAACACAGAAATGTATACTTAAGTGATGATATAAAAGGATTTTTTGAATCTCTCCAAACTCCATATTGTTTATCGGAATTAATATGCATCAGCTGCTCCAATCGATCAATCAAAATTTACTAATGCACAGGCTTTTAACGAGATATTAAAATATAGATATTTATGTATGTCTACAATAAATCAAGCACCTTTTGATAAATTGATATTATTTTGAAGACATTTGGACTAAACTCTTCGAAAATATTATAATATTCTTTTTACTGATGAAAAATCGATGATTAATTTCTACTTATATTTATTAGATAGGCCATTGTTAGCCATTATACATTTTGACTGGTATTTCTTTCCTTTTATTTCTTTTGGTATTTTTAATACATTAATTGTATTAGCGGTAAAATTTTCTGGAATTTTTATTAGATAAACTTTGTCAACCATTATGAATTTTTTTAGTATTTCGTTCATGTTAATTTTAGTAGATTTTATTACATTAATTGTATTATGAGTTGTATTTTCTTGAATTCTATTAGATTAAACATTGTCCACCATTGTTAGTTTTTGACCTGTAATTCTTTCATGTTAATTTTACTTGATTTTTATTGCATTAATGTTATTAGGAATAATAGTTTCTTTAATTTTTTATTGGATGAAGTGTTGTCAGCCATTATTATGTTATTTTGACTCATATTTGTTTCATTATAATTTCAGTCGGTTTATTTACACTAGTAAATACTAGGAATTTTTTGCAACACGCTGACGTGTATTGAAATCTTCACTCTATTTACTATAGTTGAAGTTATCACAAACATTTTTGTCGAGATTTACAAACTCTACGTTTCGTTCAATTTAGCATACCAATCAATAAAATTTGAATGAGCTGATTTGTTGGCTAAAAATATTTTAACAAAAACTCTACTTCGCGGTTTAATAATTTCTTTAATTTAATTTAATTTTATACGACTTTATGGTAAAAAAAAAACAAAACATTTTAAGAAAAATTCTTTTTTTTTTTCTTTTTTCTTTTTAACAGCGAAGAATAAATTCTTAAGATTTCTAACTATTTCTTATTATATAACTTTTTTCTTTTCCCTCTTTCTCCTTTTTATCCCGTTATATCTGTCTGTCTGAATGGATTGATTCCATTTCATAAAAAAATATTCGGTCTGAAGAGATGTATATAACAATATTCATGAAATAATAAGCAATATGAATTTTTAAGATGTTTTCTTAATTTATCATTATATATATATATATATATATATATATATATATAGAGAGAGAGAGAGAGAGAGAGAGACAGAGAGAGAGACAGACAGACAGATAGATAGATAGATAGATAGATAGATAGATAGATAGATAGATAGATAGGGTGAGAGAGAGAAAGCAATATCAATAATGAAAATAAAATATTTCAATTATTTCATTAGTTTCCTGGAAATATAGCAGTTATTTTTCTGAATTAAGATTTCAGCAAAAAACCGCTGAGGTTTGTATGAAAATGTCCATAAAAGTCAAAGTATGATTTGTGAAAATGTAAGTAAACCATTTCCGTTTAATTATTTATAATTTATAACTAATGCTTTATCATTTGATATCGTGTCTTGTATTTGCAAAGATCTCTTGTCTTGAATATTTAATCTTTCGAAAATACCAAGGTTGATCGTATGTTTAGTAAAAAAAATCATTATTACTGTCGATATATATATATATATATATATATATATATATATATATATATATATATATATATTCAGTTGTATGGATATGAGTTTGTGATCCAGGGTTTCATGCTTTTGCGATCATCAGACAAACTGGTTTATTCTTTTAAAAATTGAATCTATTTATGCTTGTTTGTCTTTGGTTATGTTTGGTGGTTGGAGGGGGAAATTCTCTGTATTCGTCTGGGATGACACTCTCACACATACAGACACACATACATACAGGTGTACGCATTTTAGTTCACACAAACATACCAATATAAACAATCCGAGATTAGGTGCTGGGTCACAAATTCATATCCACACAACTGAATATGTTACCTCTGTCACTGATGTTAGAGTTTCCACTAAGTACTGCGTATATAAAATTATATATATATATATATATACATATATACATATATATATATATATATATATATATATATATATATATATATATATATAGATAGATAGATAGATAGATAGATAGAAAGAGACAGACAGAGAAAGAGAGGGAGAGTTGCTTTAAAGTATGTTTTCCAATTGAATTCTTATTTTTGAGTTATTTACACAGCAACATAGAACTTTCCTCAAGAATACTAAAACACTTTCTTCATCTCCTATGACAGTTCACACAAAAGACTCATTTTATTGATTTCACTGCACGTTTCGATTTCTGTCAATTCCGTTTACTTTCCGTTTAATATTCTCTGCTTATTGGTTCCTCATTGTTTTGTATAAATGTTGATCTAATAGTGTTTTTGTTATCTTACATATCTCGATAGAAAAGAAAAAAAAACTGTCACATGAATAATAGCCAACAAAGATCGATCTTTTCTTGCATAAAACAGCAAAGAAACAACACCAGATTTTTGTCCTTCTTCCCTAAATCAATATATTTTAAAATGATAAATTTTCCTCAAACAATATCTACATGACATCTTATCGATTCACATAAATCAATTTAAAAAACATATTTATGCGCACACCTATTTATACACACACACACACACACACACATATATGTATATATATATATATATATATAATATATATTTAAACAAGTTGTATTAATTTCAAAACGTTTCTGTTTTATTTTTCTAATCTTCGAATAAGTTGTTGCACATCGGGATTAAAATCATGTTTTGTTCTGTTTTTGTCCGTGTGTTTTTGATTGTCACAGATATTTTCAGGAACTGAATATTCTCAGGTGATTACTATGTTCGGAGAAACGAATGTAGTACGGAATTTTGCGGATACGCTTTGTGAGCAGTATCCCGTTAAAACCTATGTTCTATTGCTTTTCTCCAAAATAATCGAAATTAGCTTTTAGTGTAAGTATATTTAAATGATTAAATTCAACCTTTTATTGCACGCACACGGACACTCACACTCACAACCCCCATACACACGCACGCATACTTTTACATACGCATAATGATTATCAGTGCGGATGAAATTATTTCTTGGTATATCATTTATTTCTTGGACAATATTTTTACCAAAGTGCACATTCTCTCACTCGTTTGTCTGGATGTCATATGTCTGTGATGAGTTGTTTCTTAAGGATAATTGCCAATGAGCCAGATACATATATATAATTGTGTTCATGCCTTTTCCAAAGAAACAGTGTCAAGTGACCATAAAACGCTTCAGCCCCGATTCACCGATTCTGTGTCCTGTGTTGCTAAGCATTTCCTATCGTAAATACTGCATAGGATACAGATATGCTGATTGAAATTTTGTTAGCCCCATTTTTTTTTTTTTTAATAAAAAAAAAGATTACTTTTAAATTAAGTCGCTGAAGCTCAAGTGTTATCGCGTCTCAAGAACAGACCGAATTTTCCAATATTTCCCAATGTGGACTCTGCAAAACCATAGAATTCCGTGACTTCGGTTCAATGGTTACGTAAGCCATTCTATTATTTGTTTAATTTCATCATCTGGATCGTACCAAAATCAGAAAAAAAAAAACATTAGTTTTAATCCAAAAATAAAAACTTTCAACAAAAACACTGACGTTCCATGAGAAAAAGATAACCGATAAATAAACTATTTTTTTTTTTTTACATTTCTGTGAGAAAAGAATTAACATGTACATCTGTAGAATATCTCTTGTATGATAATCCAAAAGTATATAAAATAAATGCGTTGTCGCCAAAAATTGTTGCTAATATTGAAATATATCTTTGGATTCAAGATCCATTTCTTGATACTCTAAACAAACAGCTTTTGTGTTTAAGAGAGATCAAATTAAATTTAAAGAACCTCGGTTATCAAAGCTTTGAATGAATAATCACAAATTGTCGCTCAAGCTCTGAATTTTTTTTATAAGGTTTAACCCAACAACCTATCAACACCACAACCCTAAATTTGTGCAGGGACATCTTCATGGTATGCATATTCCAAAACTATGTATGACAATAGATAGATAGATAGATAGATAGATAGATAGATAGATAGATAGATAGATAGATAGAAACCACATGATATGAACAGACATATGTGAAAAGAGAGAAAGAAAGAGAGAAAGAAAGAAAGAGAAACCGCATGATATGGAGAGACAGGCGGATGTAAAAAGTGAGCTTTATTTATTGGTTTTGCTTTTCAATTTATTTGGTCATTTGGATGGCTTTGTGTGTGTTGGTTTTGCGAATACTTTGGTTTATTATAGATAGATAGATAGATAGATAGATAGATAGATAGATAGATAGATAGATAGAAACAGCACATCATAAATATAAATGACGTGAGATAGATAGAAACAACGTAAGATAGACAGAAATTGCATATGGGCACAGATGTAGATAGACAGATAGATAGAAACCATATGATATGCACAGACAAACAAACGTAAAAACAGTGATATATATATATATATATATATATATATATAGAGAGAGAGAGAGAGAGAGAGAGAAAGAGATCGCATGATACAGCGAGGAAATAATAACTAAGAAAAAAGATAGATTTTTATTACTTAATCATTATTTCTGGTGGATACTCGTATTAGAGTAGACGCTCCGTATATTTATTAAACGAATCGTCTACTGAAATACGGGTATCTACTAAATATAGCGTTTAAGTAATAAACGTTTGTCGGATTAATAAATGAAAAATCCATCCCCTTTCTCCACAGATAGATAGATAGATAGATAGATAGATAGATAGATAGATAGATAGATATGGTCATAGAGAGATAGATAGATAGATAGATAGATAGATAGATAGATAGATAGATATGGTCATCGATAGATAGATAGATAGATAGATAGATAGATAGATAGATAGATAGATAGATAGATAGGTCATCGATAGATAGATAGATAGATAGATAGATAGATAGATAGATAGATAGATAGATAGATAGATAGATAGATGTGATATGATATACGTACACACAATTTTGGAGTCTTTGTAGTCTGCAAAATAACTTAGCAGCTTTTAACTTTCGGTTGATACTAAAAGATAACAGATTATCTATTGCATGCCTAGAGGTCAGCAACGTGACTTCTTGGCTGAAAGGCTTTTATCCAGCAGGACTTTACAGCCTCTAGCATAAAGGTGAGATTGATGAACAGTAAAATCGAGAATTGATGTTGCCTTCCGGTTCCTATACCAAGATATCTCTCGTAATTAAAGATAATTCTGTCCTAACAATTTACTACGAATATCGAAATGATATCAGCATACATGCTCTGGCGAAAATTCAGCATCATTATAAATTGAGACGAAATCTAGCTTTTGGACTTTCTTTGATTCTTGTTATATAATAATACGCCTTGGTACTGCAGTTCTGTCCAATGAACTGTATTTCGGTTAGTAATTATGAAACCTCAGTTTACTGTTGGAGACTCGACTTTGTAGGCTGCCACGAGCGTTTTCTTTTAAAGATACAAAAATAAAACGAACCTTGCTTTCTGTTCCTTGCAATTCAGACATATTCCTCGGGGGTCCACACGGAGAAGTTATGTGAGTTTGTAAGTGGAAATTTTCACTTCTTTTATATAAATACTCAGGCTTTCACTTACAGTTAAATTTATTAGACTATCATGATGGCCATTGCTTGACAGCAGGCGTCCACTGTAGATATTTAGTAACTCATATCTGATTCAGTACAAAACTATAAAAGAATCTACTAGAACGAAAGATCTCCAAGCTTAACTTAATCGGTATAGGTCGTCCATTTTGAAAAAAAAAAGTGACACTTAAATAACAGATAACGGAAAATATGATACCGAAATCAGAAGTCGCATTGGGATAGCAAAAGATGCTTCAAAAAACATAAGTAAAGTATTAAGAAACATGAAAATGTTGTCAGAAACAAAGAAAATAGTGCTAAACTGCTATGTAATATCAGTCTTTCTATATGGCAGTGAATGCTAGACAATTTCCTGTGTCTACTGGAGACGTTGGTGCATGTGAATAACGAGGAAATTTTAAGTAAATTGGAAATGAAAAAGGCACCTATACTCACAGAGTCAATTGGAATTTCTAGGAGACATAATGAGGAAAGAAAGCTCCGAGAAATTATCATTCACAGGAGCTGCTGAAGTCAAGAGGGACAGAGGAAAGAAGCGAATGATCTATGACAAAAGAGGGAGTGTGACGGATATTAAAAAGACAAATACTGCTTAAATCTACAAAGGATAGGAAGTTGAGAAGACACATGATCGCACACACCCTGAAATGATACGGCATATAGAAGAAAGAGTCAGAAATAATATTTCAATCCAAAATAAGGATCTAACTCACAAATCATATAACTGATTCAGGACGTGGGCGATCATGATTCTTCCCTACTTCCTATCCTTTGCAGCACTAAATAATTAAAAAAAAAATTTTTCAGTTTTGATAGTAGCGGATACATTCGACCTTGTGCCATATACAAGCTACGCTTAGAAAATTACCCTTAATTCCTTAGAAGGGGCACATCAACGTGGTGTAATGATTAGCAAGCATGTCTCGCGAGATCAATTACGACTGAGTAGTGAGTTCGATCCTCACTGGGTGCCCCATAACTTCGGGCATGGTCCACATACAAAATAAGCTTAGAAAATTACCCTTAATTCCTTAGAAGGGGCACATCAACGTGGTGTAATGATTAGCAAGCATGTCTCGCGAGATCAATTACGACTGAGTAGTGAGTTCGATCCTCACTGGGTGCCCCATAAATTCGGGCATGGTCCACATACAAGATAAGCTTAGAAAATTATGCTTAATACCTTAGAAGAAGAACTTCGATGTGGTGTAATGATTAGCAAGCTTGTCTCGCAAAATCAATTACGACTGAGTAGTGAGTTCGATCCTCACTGGGTGCCCCATAACTTCGGGCATGGTCCACATACAAAATAAGCTTAGAAAATTACCCTTAATTCCTTAGAAGGGGCACATCAACGTGGTGTAATGATTAGCAAGCATGTCTCGCGAGATCAATTACGACTGAGTAGTGAGTTCGATCCTCACTGGGTGCCCCATAAATTCGGGCATGGTCCACATACAAGATAAGCTTAGAAAATTATGCTTAATACCTTAGAAGGAGAACTTCGATGTGGTGTAATGATTAGCAAGCATGTCTCGCGAGATCAATTACGACTGATTAGTGAGTTCGATCCTCACTGGGTGCCCCATAACTTCGGGCATGGTCCACATACAAAATAAGCTTAGAAAATTACCCTTAATTCCTTAGAAGGGGCACATCAACGTGGTGTAATGATTAGCAAGCATGTCTCGCGAGATCAATTACGACTGAGTAGTGAGTTCGATCCTCACTGGGTGCCCCATAAATTCGGGCATGGTCCACATACAAGATAAGCTTAGAAAATTATGCTTAATACCTTAGAAGGAGAACTTCGATGTGGTGTAATGATTAGCAAGCATGTCTCGCGAGATCAATTACGACTGATTAGTGAGTTCGATCCTCACTGGGTGCCCCATAACTTCGGGCATGGTCCACATACAAAATAAGCTTAGAAAATTACCCTTAATTCCTTAGAAGGGCATATCAACGTGGTGTAATGATTAGCAAGCATGTCTCGCGAGATCAATTACGACTGAGTAGTGAGTTCGATCCTCACTGGGTGCCCCATAACTTCGGGCATGGTCCACATACAAAATAAGCTTAGAAAATTACCCTTAATTCCTTAGAAGGGGCACATCAACGTGGTGTAATGATTAGCAAGCATGTCTCGCGAGATCAATTACGACTGAGTAGTGAGTTCGATCCTCACTGGGTGCCCCATAAATTCGGGCATGGTCCACATACAAGATAAGCTTAGAAAAATACCCTTAATACCTTAGAAGAAGAACTTCGATGTGATGTAATGATTAGCAAGCTTGTCTCGCAAAATCAATTACGACTGAGTAGTGATTTTCAATTCTCACTGAGTGCCTAATACTTTCGGCCTGGTGCCATATCTAAGCTACGCTTAGAGAATCCTTTAGGGACCTTGACGTGGTATAATGATTAGCAAGTTTGTCTCTCTAGAATAATTACGATTGAGTAGTAATCAGCTACGACTAAGTAGCGATCGATCCTCAGAGAGTGCTCCATAATTTCGTCCTTGTGCCCATCTAAGTTACGCTTAATACATTCATATATATTCTGTGTACTCTGACGTGTTGTAATAGTTACCGAGCTTTTCTTGCTAGATCAATTATAACTCAGAAGTGAGTTTTGTCCTCCATACTTTCGGCCTTGTAAGTAATGGCGATAAAAGGGCGATAACGATTGCGATCTACTAAATCGCCATTAATTCTTTAGTAGTTATTTGTTTACTTTCCGAAAATAAAAAAATAAAAGTCAGCAGATATGGGCTTCCTGAGATCTGGAGGAGGGATGTGCCATTCTTAAATGGATAATTAAACCCTACTGAGATGTGAAAACTTTCAATTGATTAGCGTTTTAATGCTTGTTGGGCCAGAGGTTTTTTTTCCTTTATAAGAAGTAGGCAGACTTGACCCTGCCGGAAGATATACGTTTATTACTGATATTGAATGCAAAGGCCGGTACGTGTAAATTTAAACTGATAAAAAAAAAAAAAAAAAAAGAACAGGGATGTCTACACATGTATCCACTAGATATAACGTTTAAAGTAATGACAAATTACCAGTATATGTAAACAAAATGCCAGAAATGTTTTTCTACCGACGAATACTAAGAATAACTTGGACAAAGCTTTTTAGCAACTAGGAAGTATTATGAAAATAGGAACTACAGCAAAAAATGTATACCTGTAAATAATTTTACCTGTAGATGATTTAACAACAGATTTTCTGTAGAGTCTTTGCCAGCAATTGTTTAAACACAGCCAGCTACAGATGAATCTTGCGGTAAAAACAATATTAACTAAATAAAATAAAATAAAATCAGCAAATGAATAAACGTCA